AGTCTTTATTCTTCATATATAATTTAAAAGCAAGCTTTTCTTTGTAAAAACTTCAATTAAATTTCAATAAAGTTAAAAACATGACCTTATTGTCAATCTTTAAAAAAAAAAATATATTTTTAATACTTTAGTATATTTTTATTTTTATTTTTAGATTTTCAATTCAGATAGTTTAATAGGATTATAACCAATCTATTAATATATCAGATTGATTTAATATTCTTTTTCTTTGGTTCTTTTAGTTAAAATTCTAATAATCTGATTTATAATATCTTTATTTAGAAATAAAAACTTGCAAATTGCCTATTATTAAAATTTAACCTAGTCTGTATCTAGAATTAAATTTTTTTTAACAATCTGACTTGCATATATTAAATTTTTTTTTCAACCTAACTTACAAAATTCTTTAAATAATTTTGCAAATTTTTTAGTCTAACCCAGTCTGCAATTATAAAATTTTATTTTAAACCTAAGCTGCAAAACCCAATGCAAGCCTCTACTTAAAGGTTTTTGCCATCTGACTTTTCTATATTGATATCTGTTTTTTAAATCTAATCTTTATAATAATACTATCAAAAATTAATGTTACCTCTCTGCTTGGATTTTTTCAAATAAATTTCTTGTTTTTCAGTTTCTACAGATTTATGCAGTTACAAAAACTTATCTTAGACATCTGATGCTAGTTTACATTTTTTTGTGTAACTAATTACACAGATGCACCATAACCTGCCAGTCATGCTGGTGTAACCATAATTACAAGTTTTTAAAAAAATTAAAAGAACTATAAAATGATTTAATTAATTGTAAAAGATTGCTATAGCAAAAGAATTACCAAACATTAATATTAGAAAACTAGAAAAATTATTTAAAAGAATTAAAAAAAATTTTTAATAATGTAATTATTACAAAAATAACAATTATTCAATTTGATACTTAATACAGTGCATAATGCCACCCGACCTATGATATAATTCATTTCATCTAATGGGAGAAGAGATCTGCCTTCGTCCAATAAGAACTTGAAGAAAAATTAGTAAATCCATCATCAATGTCTGTCTGTCCGCACATGTGTTAACCAATAAAAAAAAAAAAAAATTCGCATGCCACATATATAACCAACCTAAATAAATGACCCTGGTATCTTATTTATACACTTTATATTGAATCTCATGAAATCCTATTTTTTAATCAAATCTACACAAATGCAAACCTCAAATGTTTTGCCAGCGAGTATACGTAGAAGACAAATACTTTACTATTTATTACTATTACCAGTTATATACATTAGCTAATTAATTCATCTCAAATCCTGACAAGTAGAGTTATCTGTTTTTGTATATTTGTATAATATGTATATAGATTATTAAAAATAGTTTGCATCGGACCTTATTGGTTTCCAATACCTAGTTTTTATTAATTACAAAAAGCTTTTGCTAAACAAACGGTCTATTTTTGTGAAGATAATTATATCTCCATGGTTTATGTCGATCACGTAATTCGTCAATTACACCCTGGGGTAATGGATAATCTTTTGAAACCGACCATGTCATTTCACTTGCAAGTTCTTTTGAGGTATCCCATGGCGATTCTAATAAATAAAGTACAAATTAATTTAAGCAAGCATTTTCACCAAGTTAAACTAATAAAAATATAATTTAAATTATAAAAACAGACTTTCTTGTTTATATTCTGACTTTTCTGGCCTTGGTGGTAAAGGGATGATAACATTATCGGTTCCACAAACTATACGTCGCCATCTCATAGTACCATTTCCATCAATATCGACTTTTTTCCATCTAGTTCTAACACGCCTCCTAGTGTATATTCACAGTATGAATGCTTCAATTTTTGATAAAATAGGTGTTTTTTTTTTGTTTTTTTTAAGATGACATACTTATCTTTGTCTGGAATGGAATCGCTACAAAAGAAAATTTCTCGTATTCTATATAAACATCATAGGATCCAATGTATATAACATGAATACTTACTCCTTCAAATCATCAGGGTATATATGCATAACATTTGATACGTGGATCGCCTTCAGAGTTGGTCGTAACCACCATCCACCCTTTTTTTCAGATTGATCTGTGGCATTTGAAATCTCATTCGGCGAAGTTCTCCTGCCCTAGTTATAAGATATTATCAAGTAACGAACAGTAATAAAAAAGAAGAAAGGAAGAATATAATAAAGTATAGAAATGAGTTTCGGATAACATTACCACTTTTACGCCTTCTACCCAAACCCTATTTGTAAACATATCGGCCGATTTAACCTTCCCAATTTGATGTTTAGCATCACCTGCGATGACTTTGACCTACATTTCATTAAATTCAACAATCTCGTAAATGACATTACTGATAAATTTGTTAGTTACCGTATCGCCTTCAAAAATTTTCCACCTTTTAATTCTGTCTTTTGGATGAACCCATTTTTCTTGCGGTCTAAGTCTAGTTGATACACGGTTTTCAAATTTTGACCATACTTCACGAAACATGTGAAGAGGTTTATCCGGCTTTTTCGACATTATTTAATTATTAACGTAAAATTTTTTAACGTTGCGTTTTGATTATCGTTATCGAATATATGAGCATAAGTTCGATTAGCTAAAATTAAAGATCATCCTTTATATTACCATAACGAGTGATCGGCTAAAGCGGAGCGAGTTTTAGAGTTACCTTTTTGATGTAGTTAGGATTACCGTATACGATGGGCCAAACCATCCCCTGTCATAAAATAATTATCGGTCATGCGGATATTTGAATGGTGCATATGATAGTATACGTACCAGTAAAGTCAATTGTTCTGTGATCCGATATGAACCATAAAAATATCCGCATAATCCGACAGGGGGGTGGTTTGGCCCATCGTATACGGTAGTGGTTATATAGAATACCAAGACTGTAGAGTTCAGGGCACAGGGGCATAGGGCATGCCTATGGACATGCCTCAAGTCCAAAGAGCATGCCCTTGTCATGTGATGTTTAAAGTTATTTTAATTGGCTAATAGGTTCAGGTAAACTAAAACCGTAGATACTAAATTAACATGTAAGATTTTTAAACTATGTGTTAATCATATGATTTAAAAAAGGCATGCCCATGGGCATGAGGGGCATGCCTTAGCTCAGGGGCATGCCCATATGGGCATGCCCAATTTTTTTCTCATGCCCTGAACCCTACAAGACTGTAATTTATGCAGTATGAAGATCATATATTGAATTAACATAATAATTTAACCTTATTTTTTAATATTACAAACTCCTAGTAATGTTTAAAACTAATGGGAAAAAAATTTTCAACAAACGTTTATATATTAGAAATAATCTACTCAAACTGACTTATACACTGATGATTCCTAAATCTGATGATTCAGAAAGTTAAAAAATACATAATTAAAACATGTAAAAAAGAATAAAACAACTTAAGATTGATATAATTTGATCTGAGTTTTATAACAAATTTTATCAATTATATTATTTGCATAACTTTTAAGAATAAAAAAGTTATATTAAAGTATAAAAAAAATAAAGAAATATATAAATAAAAAGCTTACTAATTTTTAAGCTTTTTTTTCTATAATCAAATTATTTAACTATGTTAAAAGTACTTATAATTTTGGTTAAATCAATTCTTTATTACAAACAGTTCTTATGTTTACTGCTTTTTTCATCATTTTAGTCTTATTTATTTTCAAATATTTTATTTCAAGTTATTTTTTTAATTAAATTTTCTTTTTAAATTTATATTAAAACTTATTTATACAATTTGTTAATTATTTTTTTAAACAAATATATATTTTATAAGTTAGATATGAAAATATTAATATTCTTTATATTAAAAGGTATAAAAATGTTAATATTGTTGTTATAGAACAAATTATTATTATTTCATTATTATTAGTTATTATTATTATTTTATTATTATTGGTTATTATTATTATTTTATTATTATTTAGTATTAGTTATTTTATTATTGTATTATTATTATTATTACTAGTAGTTGCTAGAACTTTTCAGTTAATTGGTAATTGCTTAATCACTTAGTCACTTAGTCATTTAGTTGCTTAGTCACTTAGCTGTTTAGTCACTTAGTTATTTAATAATTAGTTACTTAATAATTAGTAGTCATTAGTTGTTAAAATCTTTAATCAATTAGTCATTTAGTTGCTTAGTTGCTTAATACTTAGTCACTTAGTTGCTTAATCATTTAGTCACTTAGCCACTTAGCCACTTAGCTCACAAATATATAAACTCTGCTAAATTCTCCAAGTGTAATTAAGCAACAAACACTTCTTTTCTCTTTAATATTGTAAACACATTTTAGAATTTTTTAGAAACAAAAATCTAAAAATAGTCTTTCTTGTTATTACTTTAATAAACAGCTTTTGACTATAAACTGTATTGATACTTCTTCTCTAAAATAATTCCTACAGACAAGGTTTATCTTTTTTTAGTGAAATAAAATAAAGTTATTAGTATTGTATTATCTTTTTTGAACTGCCTTAGAGAAGAATATAGTTTTTAACAATGTTTAACAGAAGTTATACTTTTCTTTTGGACACTGCATATATCTGTAAAGGATTCTCTGTACTATGTCATCATTATAGTATAAAAATTAAAAAGGTTTTCACCTATAATATTGTTTTAGTTTTAAGAATTTATATATGCAATCTTTTTATAATTATAATTTTTTATAACATTATCATTATATATAATATTTATATTTCATAATTGAATCTTCTAAGGGTGTGGCAACCTAGTGAAGTAGTCAGGTTGTCAATCTTCCAAGTGGTAGATTGGGTGTTCAAATCCTATTGACAGCAAAAATTTGGATAATCACCTATGTAATATTTATATTATAGCAACTGTTACTAATAATTGGGTTAGGATACCTATAATGGTAGTCGCACCAGCATGACTGGCAGGTCATAGGGCATCTGTGCAACATTAGAGTTACACAGAGGAATGCAAACTGACAAATCGGATAGTACAAATACTAAATAAGTTCTTGTAACCATGTAAATTTATTGAAATTGAGTAACAAGAAGTCTATTTGGGAAAACTAAAGTAGAAAGGTAGTTGGATTTTTAACAGTCCTACTGTAAAGGCTAGCTTGGCAAAATAGATACCAAGGTCTAGTACCTGGTTGTATTAGCTAGACAGATAAAAACCTTTGGGTTAGGAGTCTCAAAGGTACTATCAACCAAGCTACTGAAATAAATCAGAGAAAAAAGATATTGGGCTGATCTAATATACCAGTAGACTAATTATAGTCTTATATAGGCTATCTAGATTGGAAGTTTGGTAAAAAAACAGGAAAAAAGACAGAGGTATACTAAAGTATTGGGGTTATGCTATGAAGTAGATGCTAGGGTCTAAGTGAACTCTGCAAGAACATGGTGGTTTAATGGTTAGCTCTGACTGCAAGTGTTGGTTCTATTATAGCAATATCTAGGTTAGCTATAAAAATAGGTACAGAAGACTCTGGAGGTTTATCTCAAAGATAAATTAGTTCTAAGATTGAGATGATGATCTGGGCATCTGAATATGACCCAGTAAGTTAACACAGGTTATAGATTTAGAGAGTTTAAAGTAGAACATCCAAGCAGAGGTGTTAGATATACCAATTGGTAAAAAACCTTTAGGCGAACTTCTTAAATAAGTAATATAGAAAAGTTACATATGTAGCCAATTGTACTCTTTTCTGTAATGGTTTATTAAACTACAATACTGATAAGTAATTAATAAAAGTCAAAAGACCAAAGAGGTTACTTTAATAAAAAAATAAATAAAAAATAAATAAAAAATAATTGAATCTTTTAAGAATTTTTTTATTTTAAATTTATATCTATATTTGGACTTTTCTATAGAGTTTTATATTTGATTAATAATTTTAATAAATTATAAAAACAAAATTTGTTTTAGTTTGATTCAAATTATTAATTTTATTTATAAAAAATTTGAAAATTTATCTATTATTATAAGATTCAAAATCTATGTAATTATATTATTAAATAAATTATTAATTATTAATATTCAAATTTTTAATTCATAAAATATAAGATTAATGATCTCTCTCTTTTGACTACTATATGTAAAAAAGAAGGCAATTTTGAAAAAGACAAAATATACTCTACACAGAGCTTCATTAACTTCAAAAACAGTAGCAGAACAGGGGCTCTTCCTCTTGTTTCCAAAAAGTATATGACTTTTGTTTTAGAAGTCTACAAAAACAAGAAAAATAAATTAACAACAAACTTCTTGACAAAAAAACAACTAGCAATAACTAAAACTATCTTTTCTTCTAAAGAGTATACTATGACAACAAAAACTAGCCAAGAAGTTTTAACTGACTCTATGCAATATAACTCTCTAAACAATATTAGCTAGAATAAGCAAGTTATTTTAAAAAATAAAACAAGAGCTTCTGAAGAAAGAAAAAATCAAAACAGCTTTACAGTTACATCTAGTTCAAAATGCATCCTAAAAGACAAAACAACAAGAAAAACAAAACAACAACAACTTCATATATAGAACAAAACAACATGTCTTATACAAAGTCTAATGCAACAGATATAAACAAAAGCAAAGAGGCCTTGAACAAACCATGATCAAGCTTATTTGCAAAAATCAAGAAAGAACAATCAACTTTCTCTTCATTCTTATCAAGAAATAATATCAGATCTAAAAATAATAATGCTCTTATATTATACATTCACAACCTAAATGGTTCACTAAATAATATTATGATTTCTTTTTATGAGACAGCTAGATGAGACATAATTACTGCTAAGCCATATGTTAATAGAGAATCTTGTACCTACTGTAATAGAATTTACTTTTTTTTTTATATTAGTATATATTTATTTTTAGCTCTATATTATATTTTATATTTTTCCTA